AAAGTACTTCCCAAGCTCTTATAACCCCATCCTCCCAACATTTCAACACTCTTTTCCCCGGCCGCCAGATAAGACGTGTACCTGCGGCGTTGAGCTTGTTACGGGATTAGGAAGGTCGGAGGGGTTGTACATGGCATGACGGGTGCCCAGACATTGCCCAGCCATGGATGCGTTTGTGCGGTTGCGATTAGTGCTTCTTTGCCTGGAGGTTAGTTGCTATACTGGTTATTCAAGGTAGGTCGTTTGTTGTTTGGAAGTCTGATCATGATGGAGGGTTTGGATTGGGAGTGTTGGAGTTGTGGTGTGAGAGAAGGTTAACCTTTGTAAGATGATGCGCGCGAGTCATGTATACATGAAGTGTGTAAGCTAGTCCGAATATGGTTATCTGGTCATAACGACGACTAACATCGACGTGCTTCCATACAAGTTTAATATCATTGATTATTTTGGGTTGATAACGTATTCATACTTCATGTACAAAAAGATAGACGCAACACAGTAAGAACCTAGTATAGTAACTCAGTGTAGAAGTAAATACCCAGCCCTTTTGCACACAGTAAACATTAGTAAGAGTACACCTAATAGTAACAGAGAGCTGATCAGCAAACCGTCTCTTGACAACTGGCTGCTCAATATACCAATGCGGACGCGTATTCGAGAACCCAGGCAGCCATTGATCGAAGTTTGGTTCGGCTTACAAGTTTGATATATATGCATTGGTAGAGACCTTCGCTCTACGTAGCTTTATTCTAGCTTTTCCAAGGCCAATTCATATCCATCACCCAGTCTTGTCAAAATACATCTCTCTATTCAAATCCTAGCTGAAGCCAACTCTTCATACCCAGAAACATAGACAATCCCACGCCATGCCATTTTCCAGGACTCGCGAACCGGAATGAAAACGCACTCAGAACATGCCCAAAAGGGAACCACGTGATCCATATTCCCCCTTCCACTCACCCACCCACCCACCCAACCAACAACCCCTCACTCCATACTCTTCAACTCCCTCGCAACCTCAAACTCCGCATCCGTCTTCGCCCTAACCTCCTCTACCGTCACTCCCTCCGCAACCTCCGTAAGCGTCAGTCCCCCCCTCTCCCGATCCACCTCAAAAACACAAAGATCGGTAATAATCGTACTCACGCACCTCGCCCCCGTCAACGGCAGTCCACAAACCTGCACAACCTTACTCCCCCCATCCTTCGCCACATGTTCCGTAGCAACAACAACCTTCGTCTTCTCCGGATTACCCACTAAATCCATCGCGCCGCCCATACCCTTAAACACCTTCCCAGGCACCATATAATTCGCCAAATCACCAGCAGCACTAACCTGCAGCGCGCCGAGAATCGACACATCGACGTGCCCGCCGCGGATCATGCCGAAGGACTCGTCGCTGGGGAAGGTAGATGCGCCCGGGAGGAGGGTAACGGTTTCTTTCCCCGCGTTGATGATATCGGGGTCGAGTTGGGATTCCGTGGGGTGCGGGCCCATGCCTAGGATGCCGTTTTCGCTTTGTAGCCAGACTTGTACGCTGGGCGGGACGAAGGAGGCGGCTAGCGTGGGGATGCCGACGCCGAGGTTGACGTAGTAGCCGGGTTTTAGCTCTTTTGCGGCGCGGCGGGCGATGCGCTCGCGGGGGGTGGGTTTTGTGGATGGGGTGGAGGGGGTGGAGGAAGAGGGGGCTAGTTTGCGCGTCTCGATGTTTTTCTGCGCTGTGGCGGGGACGATGCGGTTTACGAAGATGCCGGGGAGGTCGATGGAGTTTGGATCCAGGGAGCCTGTTGGGACGATTTCTTCTGCCTCGACGATGGTTAGACGGGCTGCTTTTGCCATGATGGGTCCGAATGCTTTAGTCGTGTATCTATTTCATACTCATTAGCCAGACTCTCACTTAATATGACGAGGGGAAAAACATACCTAAACACGCAATTCCCCACCCCATCAACCTTATGCGCGCGAATAATCGCCACATCCCCCGTCACAGCCCTCTCCATAAGAAACTTCTTCCCGCCAAACTCCCTCACCTCCCTCTCCCGCCCATACCCCACCACATTCCCCTCGCCATCGAACCGTGCCGGAATCCGCCCCTCCTGCACCAGCGTACCCACCCCCGTCGGCGTATAAAACGCCGGGATCCCCGCGCCCCCCGCCCGAATCCTCTCCGCCAGCGTCCCCTGCGGACAGAGTTCAATCTCAATCCCGCCACTGAGATACTGTTTCTCGAGCGCCTTATTATTGCCCAGGAAGCTAATCAGCAGCTTGCGCACCTGTCCGCTCTTCGTGAGCAGCGCAAGACCGCCTACATCCTCTATACCCGCGTTATTGCTCACTGCGGTGAGCGAGTGTAGGGACTTGGGCCCGCGGCGCTGCAGCGCTTGGATCAGCGTTTCGGCTACGCCGCAGAGCCCGAAGCCTGCGCTTAGCACGACGGACCCGGATTGTATGTCTGCGACTGCGGCATCAGCGTCTTTGTAGAGTTTTGACTTTGCGCGGTCGATTTCCGGTGCGCGCGCGGAGACGGTGCTTATAAGTCGCCGTTGGTGCGTGAAGTGCCATTTTGGGGGGGATGTGCGGGGGGATCTGAGGGGGGGTGCGAGGGCGCGTCGGGAGCAGATGCGTGAGGGGAGGTTGGCTAGGAGCCGGTAGGATGAGGGGAGTGTGTCCATTGTTGTGGAGGAGTGGGGATTGGTGGGTGGAAGGACGTGGCTTTTTTACATATCATCAAGTAACGGTGTTAATTTATTCCCCGACGTCAGCATTATACGACGATGTACTGTTACGCTCGATGGGAAACGCTCCGAAGCCGCGCGCGACGACGATGACGCGCAGCGGAGACAGAAGAAGCCCCGCAGCGCGAGTCAGGCTGCGCTTCCCGACTTACCGACTGACTCGGACGGTGATGCAGCGTCCAGATTCAAGAGTGTGAGAAGTAATCAATTGATGGGTATTTGCGCCTCGCCATATGCCACACATCCGATGTTTGCAATCCAACCACGTCAATCCAACGCCTGCGCGTTATCCAACGCTTCATCCTCGTCAACCACAGCCCTCTCCTTGCCCTTTGCATTCGAGCTGGGCCCCGCGACATCTCCCTCATCCTTCTCCTTCGCTTCACTCTCACTCTTCTTTGCGTCCGCTTCGCGAGTCCTCGCCTCCTCCTCCAACCGCACCCGCTCCTCCTCTGCCTCCCTCTCAGCCCTCACCCTCTCCTCCTCAGCGCGTATGATCCTCTCTCCAAGCCCAGGCCACAGACTTGCGAGGAAAAGCGTGACAGATCGTTCCACAGCGCGCAGACTGTCCCTCGCCCAGTTGATCGGCTGTTCCCTCTGTTGTCGTAACAATCTCTGAGCTGCTTCGTGGGGCGTTACATTGCGGGCTGGTTCCACGCGCTGGGGTGGAGGGTTCGCGCGTCCTCGAGCAACCCGCTCAGCGAGTGCACCGGCCGGGAGCATCGCTTCAAAGTGCTGTCGGACCATGTTGACCTGCTCTTCGAAGATGCCGAGCTGGACGAAATACACGATGGCGGCGACGATGCCGAGCATGATGGGTCTGTACCAGCTGCCGCCGCCAGCGAAGATATAGACAAAACAGCCCAGCTTGAAGAGGAGCCACAGGTGTGCTGCGATGTTTCCTTGGGCGTTTGCGTTTTCGTCAATCTCGACGACATTCTGATTTCGATTTTGATTTACCACGTTAACCTGGTTGGCATTTTGATTCGCGTTCTGATTCACATTCTGATCCTGTTGCTGGTTCTGCGCAGGCTGGGGCTGGTTCGAAGGTTGCTGCGCGGCCTCTCCCGTCGTGGGTTGCTGTGTGGGCGTGTGTTGACGACTAGCCAGGTGGTTGTGTGATTGACTGGAGCTGGAAGCCATCTGCTGTCCTAGTCCGGCGATGAGCAGCCTGTTTCGATTGAACTGATCTGTAAACGACTGAAACGACATGGTCGATGCCATAGGTGCTGTCGTATATGTACCCTGTTGGTTAAACAGCACGCCAACCGGGCCTTGTGGGCTGGAGAGGATGAAGAGCTCTGGAGCGGCGTCTGATGGCATGTCTGGCGTAGTGTTCTGCATCTGGGAAGAACTCGATGGCGGTGCTGCAGTTGTATTTGCAGTTGAAGAGGCAGATGCGTCCACTGACCCGCTCGAAGAAGTCTGGGTGGCGGTGGGCTGACTTGACTCCTGTTGGCGGCCGGCCATGGAGCTCAAGACATCCGCCTCACTGCGCAGTTCATTCAGAAGCTGGCGGAGAGCGAGCACATCTGCGTGGGGCGCCATGGTGGGGTTGCCTATGAAGAGCGCCAATCCCCGCTCGACTGGAACCAGAAGTCTCTCCGTGTTTTGGAGATGTTGGAGAAGGCGGTCGTTACGCCACACAGGCATGCCCGGTGACGAGCCGGACTCAGTCTGCCCTGCCACTCCGCTGGGACTTTGTAACAACACTCTAACGTTGTCCAGCTCCTGCCGCGCTGCTTGCAACTGTGCTCTCAACGGCGACATGACTCCGCCTCCACTGGGGGTTGGGGCGCCTGTCGGACGAGGTGGTGGCGGGGCAAAGGGGCGTGCGAGCAGAGGGTGCTGTGGAAGCATGGGCATGTTGGCGGTGGAGTTGTACGTGACAGACCATCGTTCCCCGTTGGGCCCAACCCCCTCCTGTCGCACTGTCCTGCCGCTGGAGGGGAACGCAGGCGGGGCATTGGGAGGCATCTGCGGAGGAGAGCCAGGTCCAGGAGTAGGGAGGGGCGGCATGGGATGTCCGTTCTGGGCCATGGCCTGGGCGATGTGCTGCTGCATCTGCGGGAGGGCGGGGATGGTAAAGGCGTTCACGGGCCCGGGCAGGTGGTGGTGGTGGTGGACGTGTGGGTGGGCATGGTGGTGGTGCGGCTGTGGCAGGGGTGGTTGCGAGGCGGGTCGAGGCTGGGGCAGGGTTCGAAAAGGGTTCGTCTGGAGGGGCGGGCTCGCGGCGGGTGGTGGGCGGAACGGGTTCGGCGGGGCGGTCGCGGTGCGCGGGGCAGGCGTGGAGGCAGTCGCGGGCAGCTCTCGTAGCACCAGGTGCAGACTCTGGTCCTTCATGTCGCGGATCTGGCGCTGCTGTCAGCCTGGGAGTCGACATCCGTCAGTGGCCAGCTCACATTGCCCGCGCCAAACACGTCCCCCAGCGTGTCGCCATCATTAGCCACGACGCGTCCCCTATAGATCAGGCGCATGCGCTCGGGGGCCGGTCTGGAGGGCACGGCATCCTGTATGCGCTCGCGGAGCTGCTTGACGGTTGTCGACGTGGGCAGCTCCGCAAAGGTGACGCCGCCCTCGACTTCATCGGACGGCGAGAGGATGCGCAGGTTGAGGGTTGCGGGCTCGTCGGCCATGGCTGCTGCAGCGGCTGCTCTCTGGTCGACGTCGAGACTGGGCCGTGGTGTAGCTGTAGAGCTGTGTATACGTTGCATAGCTCCGCGACCAGGGCCGTTGCGCTCGGCCAATGACGTCGTGGCTGCAAAGAAGCGCGCCTCACCACGCCTCTGGCCACCCGCAGTCCCAGTCAGTCCTGACAATTAGAATAATCCCGATGAAGTAGCCATGGCCTCGACCTGCTCCCGCCAGCTCCTGCGAGCCCGATACCCCCACCATGCCCACCCCGCCCTCACACGCACGTGCGTCCCCTCGCGCACCTTCTCGTCGACGCGCACCGCCTGGGACCAGCAAAACTTCCACCGCAAAGAGTCGTTCCGCTCGCGGCTGAACTCGGCCCTCAAGGGCACCAAGATCAAATGGGAGCCCATCCCCATCGCCCTGGGCATCGGCTTCCTGGGCGCCTTCCAGCTCTACCGCATCCAGCGCCGGGAGAAGCACACGCAGGCCGAGGGGGAGCGCGGGGAAGAGGGCCTCGACCAGCAGGGCCGCCCCAAGAAGCGCGACAGGATACGGCCGAGCGGGCCATGGTCAGTCTAGAATTATCATGTTGACACACCGTACGCTACTAATATTCCACAGGACAGTCCAGGTCATGTCGACATTGCCACTGAAAGCCCTCTCACGAGTGTGGGGGCGCTTCAACGAGATCGACATCCCCTACTACCTGCGCGTCCCCGGCTTCAAGCTGTACTCGTTCATCTTCGGCGTCAAGTCAGTCTCCGCCAGCACTGCCACGCCCTGCGCTAACCACGTCCAGCCTCGATGAAGTCTCGGAACCTGACCTCCATGTCTACCCCAACCTGGCCGCCTTCTTCTACCGCACCCTCAAGCCCGGTGTCCGCCCTCTTGACCCCAACCACGATGCCGTCCTCTCGCCTGCAGACGGCAAGGTCATCCAGTTCGGCACCATCGAGCACGGCGAAGTCGAGCAGGTCAAGGGCGTTACCTACAGCCTTGACGCCCTTCTAGGCTCCTCGCGCCCCACGTCACCGAGCCAGAACGTGGCAGACTCGCAGATCCGCTCCTCGACCACCCACGAAAAGGTCGGCGAGGAAGACGTCGTCCGCTCAGACGAAGAATTCGCCCAAGTCAACGGCATTTCCTACACCCTGCCCAACCTCTTCTCCGGACCATGGCCCAAAGGCGGCAAGCCCGCTGAAATGCCCTCCGACCAGTCCACCGCCCCAAAAGCATCCTCCGAAGCCGAAGTCCGCGCCGATCTCGCAAAGAGCGAAGCCGAGCGGCCCTGGTGGTCACCTGCGTCGACCAAAACACAGACCCAGCTCTACTACTGCGTCATCTACCTCGCGCCAGGTGACTACCACCGCTTCCACTCACCCGTCTCGTGGGTCGTCGAGAGCCGCCGCCACTTCGCCGGTGAACTCTACAGCGTGTCGCCCTACCTCCAACGCACCATGCCCGGCCTATTCACCCTGAACGAGCGCGTCGTCCTGCTCGGCCGCTGGCGCTGGGGCTTCTTCTCCTACACCCCCGTCGGCGCAACAAACGTCGGCTCCATCAAAATCAACTTCGACCGCGAACTGCGCACTAACTCGCTCACCACCGACACAGCCGCTGATCGCGCCGCCGAGGAAGCTGCAGCCAGGGGAGAGCCGTACTCGGGCTTCGCTGAGGCTTCGTATGGATCTGCTAGTCGCTTCTTGGGCGGCCAGCCGCTGAAGAGGGGCGAGGAGATGGGCGGGTTCCAGTTGGGAAGTACGATTGTAATGGTCTTTGAGGCGCCGAAGGGTGAGGGACCTAGTCCGGGTGAGGGGTTGCAGGGCGAGAGACACGGCGGGTTCAAGTGGAACATTGCGCAGGGCATGAAGGTCAAGGTCGGGGAGGCGCTAGGCGCAGTGCAAGTCGACGAGTCGAAGTAAGCCATGATACCAGAGTAGTCAAGAATCTTCTGTATAAAAACAGTTCTCCCATCTCGAAGAAGAAAAGACGTCCATGTAAAAAAAAAGATTCCCTTGATTATGACTAGAAATTACTCCCCCACTCCAACTAACTATCTAAGTACAACCCCCCCCCCCCTATCCCTAAGCAGCCAAACCCAAAATCCTCTCCACCGCCCGCTCAGCAATAATCATCGTCCCCATCACCGGATTCGTACTCAACGGCGCACTCACACTCGCATCCACAACAAACAAATTCCGCATCCCCACCACCCTCGCATCGCTATCAACACACGTCCCCATCCGACAACTACTACTCCAATGCTGCACATTCCCCATCGTATACGCACTTTCACTCCGCACCCAATCCGTGAGCTGCTCAACGCTGGAATTCCGCGCGATATTCAGGGGCGTGAGCCCCGGCGGCAGGGCGGCGAAGATGTTGTGGATAAACGTACCCACCGCCTCAGCGTCGCGGGGGTCGGTATAAAAAAAGCCTGACGAGGGGGTTGCGATACCGCGTTCATTTAGATTGACACGCCCGAATGAGCGGAGGCCGGAGGTGCCGTAGACGTTCAGCGTTATGGTGTTATTAGACAGATACTCGCCAAACCCCGCAGAGTCGATAGTCCCCTGACACCCCACCGTCTCGTTGCCCTGGGGAATCATGTCCCAGAAGGCGCTTGTTTGCGAGCCGAAGGCGTAGGGACCTGAGCGGGATTGCAGATACAGGGCGGCGTCTGCGGGGGCGGGGGCCGCGTAGGAGTATGTGTACGACGTGACTGCGGGGGAGGACAGCTCGATGAAGGTATTTGGGTTGTCGAAGACTTTGTCGCCGACGGCGGTGTTGTTTATCCAGGATTGGGGGGGGAGGGGGAGGATGCCTGTGCTGGATAGGTTGGCTAGCGCCGAGGGGGAGCCGATGCCGGACCACATTAGCAGTTGGGGGCTGAGGAGGGCGCCGGCGGAGAGGATTACGCGGCCGCCGGGGTTGGTGCAGAGGGCGAAGGTGGTGTTGCTTGTTGTTGAGTTAGAGATTTCGACGCCTGTGGCCATGTCGTCGTCGCGCAGGACGCGGATAACCTTTGTGCCGGTGCGGAAGGAGAAGTTTGGCCGTGTGAGCGCGGATTGGAGGTATGTTTTCACGGGGCCGTTGCGCTGGCCATCAGCGTAGTTGTAGACTGGGTGGCCGAAGACTTTTGCGCGCGAGATGTTGGTGGGGTTGTCGTTGAGGCCGATTTCCGCGTACCCGGCGCCGGAGACGAGCCATTGCTTTGCGGCTTCGAAGCCGCTTTGCAGGTAGCGTTTCCCGTCTGCGGAGGGATTGTCGGTGAAGGGCTGCTTGGCGTGGACTTTGGCGATGGCGCTTTGCATGTCGGCGTTCTTCCAGCCGGGGGGGAAGTAGAGGTCCCAGTCTGAGGCTGGGGGTTGGAAGAAGAGTCCTGCGTTGATGGCTGTGTTGCCGCCGATTGTGCATCCTTGGAAGGCGTTGACGACGTCCGAGGTGCAGGTTAGGTTCGATGCGTCCGAGAAGATGGACTTGTACAGGCCGGGGACGTCAACGCGGCTGAGCTCTGTGCCGTTCAGCCAGCCTGGTCGTTCGCGGCCGCCGGTGATGTAGTAGGAGGGGCCGCCTTGTTCGAGGAGGAGTGTCTTCTTGCCGGCTTCGCTCATGCGGTCTGCTACTACGAGACCTGCTGGTCCTGAGCCTGTGGGTTGTTAGTATACTTAGTGTCTTCAGTGATATAATTTGTTCAATACATACCAACAACAATAACATCATATCGCTCATCCCCACAAGCCTCTACCGCCACAGCCGAGCGCGCAAGAAGGGCAATTGGCAGCAACGCCTTCCAAGATTGAGCAACCATAGCGTCGTCGTCGATCTATCAGTGAAGTAACGAAGGAATGCCGACAACTACTGCAATCCAACACTACCGGGCGATAAGATCTTGAAAACATTGCGGGGCACAAGGGCAGTTATATCTCTTTCTCAGCCCTCCGGCAATCCGAGATTACACCAGAGACAAACCAGAACGAACGCCATCCACGACAAAGGAATACGGTCAGAGTCCGACGCATGACGACGGCGCGGGCCGTGCACGACACTTAAAATATCCCACCTAGCTCCGGGAACGCACTCGCAGTATGCAGGTGAGACAATTCTCCGCCCAGCAGCGAGTATCGTCTTTCTAGAAGGGTACCGATCAGGGAGCATCAACTCAAGTATACGGAACTCGAAAGAGAGAGTGAAAGAGAACCTCTTTCCATACCTTGAAGTAACGCCGAGTGAAAATAATTCGCCGTTGCTGGGGGCACAGATACGGATTTGCAGAAGTGCGATTTCGTATTGCCTAGTGGCGGCCTTTCTGCGTCGCTCGTACCGGTACACGCCGTGTCCGCCCAGCTGAGTATTCTAGTAAGCGGCGACCTCAAGCTTTACCAAGACGGCTAAGCCACGCACTTCAGCTCTCGACGTGGCGCCTGCGGTGTAAGCTGCAAGCAACGCCTTGCGTCAAGCTGAGAGCAGGGAGATGTAAGCCGGAAGTAAGATTGATAAGGACGACGTCTGAACAGGGCTAGCATACCACGACGTTACCACAACGCTTACCTCCCCACAAGCTAAGAAAAAAGCAGTAGACCTAAAGCAGCTGTCAGGATTCTTGCGCCTGTTTGGGGTTTTTTGTAAGACAGATGGCGCTAGTTGTCGATTCGATACTTGTTCTCCCACCATCACGTTATCTCGGGCTCTCAGCTAGACGCACAAGGCCGCCACAGAAGATAACGACATGCAGCAACAGGTCCTGCGACGTCGGACCGTTCTGAAACGCGACAGCAGATGCACCCAGTCAATCTGGTGCCATTTCCGCCCGTGCAGTACAATCGGGCCGCATATCAAGGGACCATCAGGGCACAGCAAAACAGAGGAAGTGAAGCGACGGGGTACATGGGTTTAAACAGGCCGGAGCTACATCCTTCCAGTACCCTCACCAATCAACAAACATCATCAAGACAAATTCAATGCTGTTCGGACCTTTTTTGCAGAACGCACTGGAACACGCAATTACAACACCACCCAAAGTTGCGTGGGGTTGGGCTGGGAGATGCCGCAGAATGGATGGAAAATCTTCCTACCTGCCCATCCATGTCACGGGGACATGTCTAATCCGCGTCTATGGGGAAGAGAGAGTCAGATCCGCGTGATGAAAACGAAGCTGGGGGTCCACGCCGCGCAAGTCTCGACTTGCAACGACCGCAATACACGAGTCGCCAATGTTCCCTGACTACTGTTTCCAATGTGAATGACTTCAAGCAGCTCCCCCCACTTGTGGGCCAGCGTTGCTTGTGGAGGTACACACGACAACTGCCAGAGGTTCCTAGTCATGCCGCCCAACTACTCCCTCTTCATCGGCGTCGAGGTCACCACCTTGTGCATCGCCATGATTTGTTTCACGCTCCGTCTCGGCAATCGGATCGTCAAGAAGTTAATAACGGTGGTAAGGCCGCATATATGTCTCCCAGGTGGACGGGACGATGGGTAGATTGGAACCACGGCTAAGCTTTGCGCAGTATGACGGGATACTCATCTTTGCGACCTTCATGGCTGTTACTATAACGGGCATGGTATTCAGACTGTATGTCCTGCGCTACGGCAGTGAAGATGTCCCCGAGGAGAATAACACGCAAATCGGCCAGTTGAGCTTGACTCTCTTCGCCATATTCCCCCTGTGCTACAGCCTCATCCGCATCTCCATCCTGCTCACCTACCTGCGGCTCTTCCCCGACCGGACGAATCGATGGCTGTGTTGGGGGCTATGTATTGCGCAGCTCATCTACTCGACGTGGGCAGCTCTCTCCACGGCGCTGCAGTGCAAGTACGTTTCCCCCTGACTTCACAACAACAACCCATACTGACCACAATTACAGACCGATAGAAAGCTACTGGACTAACCAGGAGGGCCGAATATGCCGAGACCCAAAAACACAGGACATTGTCATCCTCATCCTCAACAGCACCTTCGACTTCATCACATACATCTGGCCCGTGCAATATCTGTACAAACTGCAAATGCCCATCCAGACACGCGTCGAACTCATCGCCGCCTTCAGCATCGGATTGCTGTGAGTAAAGCCACAATCTGGCGAAAATCTCCCAACTAACTTCTCCTCCCTCTGCAGAAACATGAGCCTAAGCTTCGCAAGACTAAGCCTCCTAGTCATCATGTATAGAACGCAAGACTACTACCGCTACGGCGCATGGGGCATAATGATCATCGTCGTCGAAGCGCAGTAAGCCCCTTCCCCCCCCCCCCCCCCCAAAAAACCCCGCAATCTAACCCGCCCAGTGTCGGCATAACATGCGCCTGCCTCCCCTACCTACGCTTCCTCTTCGAATTCGTCTTCACCACCTACCTCAGCCGCATGTCGACGACAAAAGTGCAAACCGCGCCGCACTCCGCGGGCCAGAAGTTCAACGCCCATCCCTTCCGGCCGCTGGGCGGCATGGATCCAGATCGAAAGATTCTGCGGCAGACGGATATTGAGTTTGATACGTTTTATGAGGGGGGGTCTGAGGAGGGGCTGCATGCGCAACGGAGTGCGGATGGGGCGGCGGGGGAGGGAGGGCGTGTTGAGGTGTGGTGTGAGCCGGAGGAGGGGGTGGGGGAGCGGAGGGGGGTTGCGCTGTGATGGGAGGGTGGGGTGTAGGGCAATTTTTAATGTGGTGTTTTTCTGTGAGAGGCTTTTTTGTGGCTTTGGGTTTTTGTGATGTTGTTGAGGGGTGTTGCTGGAGTGGGGATGCGAATTTGACGCTGCGTTTACGATGATAGATGTGGAGTTTGTTTGGAGTGGGAGACAAAAAGGGTTGAAGATTTTGATGTTGATAGATGGCAAGGGTGTTTTTAATGGATTACGACAACTTAGGTGCTTCGTATAATATCCGTTGACGTACTTGTTAATTCAAAGACGATCAGGGAATCTAGGGACTGACGATTCGTATAATGGTGAGTGCGTTCCTATCTTTTTGTTTTCCTCGTCAAGAGTTTATGACAGTGTCAAAGGAGAAAAAAGTTTGCTGCTTCCAAGATTGCTTTCACCATGCTGCCACTATCCGTAAATTGCGTTAGCGCAGCAAACACGCTGTATATGCACTTCACAAACACGCCAGGCACACAACAGCAGCACTGTAATTGATCTTGTCAACTCTGGAACGTCGTGTTCAACGTCCGAGCAATCGAAGCGCATCTTGAGTTGAGCTAGAAATAGGGTAGTTGATTGGGATTCAACCGATCCAGAGCTTGAGGCTTCCGGGTACGATCCCTAACTGTGTGGCGCGATTGTGGTCAATAACTAAACAAACATCGATCGTCGCAAAGATCGATTGCCTGTACAAGGCACGGGATTACACTCTCAGTGCGATAGCGATGGCAGAAACCGCCAACACGGTAGGCGATCCATAATCTCCCACCCCACCTTCTTGCTAAGACTGATACTTGCCCTAGATGTCTACCGAGTTTGCACTTGTCGATAAAACCAAGGCCAAAGAGAGGCTAGACAAGTTTGCACTAGAACTCACCCTGCTACACGAAGCACTTCCAGACGAACTCTGGCCGAAAGAGGACGAAGCACCGCGAGAATATCACGAAGGACGCCCATTCTTCCCCGGCAGGGTTTTCCTCGGCACAAACGATGGTGCGAAGATATTTGCCTACTTGCGGAAGCAGTCTGAAAACGGCCATACGAAATTAGAGGTCTGGTACGACGAGGGCGGTCCTGATGACGATCCAACGAGAACGGAATTCAAGGATTCGCAATTCGAACCATGGTGCCATCTCATCGCAGACGAAGACTGTCCTATAAACAATGAGAAGGGCTCGGACTGGGAGAAGCGGATGAAGCAGGTTGTGAGGCTTGTTATGCTCGAGGTAGGGCATTTCGACGGCAGTGGGTCTATTGAGTTGTCAGATGTGCTCGAGACGATACATCGTAATACCCGAGATTCATTTGGCTCCATCCAGGCAAGCCCGAGTGGTTCCCTTTTCGCTCCCAGTACCATTGGCAATGGGCACTCAACGTGGAATTCTGAAAGTCATGAAGCCGAAACCACTGAGGATGTACATGGTTTGGAAGCTGTGACTATCCAGGGACTGAGACAGATGGATGGTACTTCGCTGGCTTCGTATTACGCCAAAATACTGCAGACCGTCGTTCCGCCTGAGCTTTGGTTCAAAACCGAAGCCTTTGGGGCTGATGAAGATTCCAAGCTCCAGGAAAGCCTCAAGCGCTTCAAACATCTAAGCCTCCTTCCCGGAAAACTTTTACTAGGTCAGCGTCGACAACCCACTCAAGGCACAATCAGAGTTTGGGCGGCTGTGCGAAAGTTGAGAAAGTCAACCGACTCGGAGATCAAGGGGCCAACTTCGCAGATGCTGGTATTTGACGATAACTATGCGCACATGGAACTTGCACCGTCCATATCTGGGCCGATCGCGTTCGCACCGATTTTCCAACTCCTTTTTAGAGAGGGAGATTTCCAGGGAGATTGGTACGCCAGAGTTTCCACTAGCGTCAGAGTCGCGCTGGTTCATGCCGGATATCATGACGGTGCCGAGTTCAAATACAGGGCAGCAGCGGCGCCTGGTATGCTGAGGGCGTTGATGGAAGAGAACTTGAAGCGCATGAGAGTCCCGACTGGAGGAAACATTGCGTCTGCAAGGGGATTTGATGTTCAATCCTCTTCACGCGGCCCTTCCCTGGCGACTGTAATCGAACCCGACACTGTGAATAGCTTGGACGCTGGCAAGCAAGCTACCGAACATAACACTTCTTCCGGGGGTTCGGGCGGAGGTGTTTCCTTCACGAAGATGCGTCCCACATCCGACGAAGCCACGCAGCCCGCTAGTAAGAAGCAGAAGACAAGCGATGGAAAATGTCTCTCACTCGTCGACTACATCAACATCCCGACCGAAACCTCACCCAACCTTGCCATTCATCTCGCATCCAAGGAACAAATCCGTATGATGACAGAAGAAATCGCCGCTCTCAACACTGACAAGACTGAGCTACAAGAGAAGTTGGACGGTCGCTCGGACTTTCTTGACGAGCTACATGCACAGATTGATGGCCTGAACGATCAGGTTGAGAACCTGTCAAGCCGAAATCAGAGCCTGTCCATGCAGAACCAGGATTTGTCTCTTGCGAAGCAGAGCCTGACAGAGCGCGTTGGAAGAGAGATTCAAGAGAAGGCCATCATGAGGCAGAGGCTCAAGAAATCGGAAGAGCTCAGAAACGCGCACACTAGATACTGTCAACCAGTCATGCTGAAGGTGATGACAGTCAAACACATGAGCTATGGAAGCGACAAGGGTCTCGCTTTGCTAGACGCGAAGATGGAGTATACAGAGACGTTTGGGATGGAGCCTGTGGAAGAAGAGGAGAGTAAGTAATTTGTTGGCTGGTAACAAAAGTTTCACTAAGGTACCGCGTTGGTGTAAAATACACTAGGTTAGGTAAAATTACACTGCGTATAAGGGTAAATTTATACTTTTATACTATATCTAGCTAAATTTACCTAATATTCTAGGTAATTTATACTAATATTAAAAAATTTATATACTTTATTACTTTTAAATTACTACTATATAAGAAATCTTTATAAAGAGAAGAGAGTAGAATAAGTAAAAATAAACTTTTATTTATAATTATTATATAATTACTACCTCCTTCTTTTAAGCTTTAACTAAATTATTTATTCTAGTATAGTACCTAATAAATTAAATACTATATTAAGGCTATATTACTATAAGTAAACTATTTATAAGTAGCTTAAAATATAACTTTATACTAGTTAATAATAAAGAAGCTTTTACTTAACCTAAATATACTAAGCTAGAAAATAATACTATTAAAGTTATACTTAGTAGTAAAAAGTATAATAATTAGGTTTCTACTATAGTTAAGTAAGTACTAAGTAGCAGTATTATTACTTAAGTAACCTACTATACTAGTATAATATAAAAAGAATATTATAAAGACTATATAGCTATACTTAGCACTAGTTTAGGAATTTATAATAATATAATATTAATTATTTATAGCTAAGATACTGTTTAGACTATATAAAATACCTAAAGTAAAGATATTATAATAGTTTATATTAAATAAAAAGAAGTAAGTCTTAACTAGAATAGCTTAAAGTTACTATTAGAAGTATACTATAGTTTTAAAAGTACTAGGTATTAGTAGTATAGCTATATTTAAGCTTACTCTATTTAAAGCTATAAAAGAACCTACTCTATTATTATTATATATAAATATATAGTTAGGCAGAACTTATTAATAGCTATTAATATAATTATTTTATAAACTATAATTAGTATTATTAATACTAAAAGTAGAAAGTTAAATTAAGGTTAACTTATAAAGTAAAGTAAGTAAGATATATAGTAGATACTATTATATAAAAAGTAGTAGTAGAGGTCTTTATACTTATTACTATAAGTAGAGAGGTAATTAAAACTAGTATAAGAATAAAGGTAAGTAGTAACTAATTAATTACTATTTAGATAAAATATAAAGACTATAAATAATAAAGAATATAATTAAGAATAACTATTTTTAAGTTAAAAAGATTAAAAGGTTAAAGTTAATAAATAAGTATAAATAAGTTAAAGTAGGTAAAAGTATATAAAAGTAAAGTTATATATATATAAGCTAAGCTATAGTAATATTTAGTTATAGTAAAAAAAATTATAATTCTAGGAATATTAGCTACTTAAACCTACCTATTTAAATAGTATTTATTAAGGTTATAAGAAGAAAAACTCTATATAATAGTAGTTAGTAAGTAGTATTTACTTAGGCTATTATATAAGTTATACCTATTATTATAGTTTCTACTTTAATATAAGAGATACTAATAAACTTAACTATTTATAGACGCCTAAAGATTTATAATAGTAAATAATATACCTAAAGATAATTTAATAATTAATACTTTATATTAAATAAGATCTACTTTATTAGCCTTATACTATAATTCTAGATACTAAGTACTAATAATAGTAATATTCTATATAATTCCTAAAAGAGGTAGGAACTTTATATACTAACTATAGTAAAAGTTAATATAGTTATATATAATTATTTTATATAAAGTATTTAGTAGACTACTATATTAACTTTATAATACTAGTTACTAAGTTTAAGCCTAATAAAGAGTTTAGAGAAGAGTAAGCTATAAAGTAGTTAAACTACTTAAAAGATACTAAATTTAAAGAAAAATAATTATACCTATAGCTCTATTATAGATAATATAAATTACTTACTATTAATAAAAAAGTATATAGTAAAAAATTAAATATCTATACTACTTAACTTATTACTATTATAGGCTTCTTTATTATAGAACTTTAGAGATAATACTCTATATAAGTAAAGTATATTATCTTAAGTAATTAAATATATTTATAATATCTTAGTTCTAAGTAGTATTAATATATATTAGCTACTAGTACTATATTATATTAGTATAAATATAGATAAGTATACTAGGCTTAAGGCTGTTACTATAGCTATAGTAGATATAGTAGTAGTATTACTTATACTTACAGCTATATATATACCTACTACTATAGTTACTAGCTTATTACTCTAATAACTTAAAACTATTAAGTCTATACTACTTAGTTTACTTATAATAGTTACTATAATTATAGCTATAGTAGCTATAGTTATAGAGCTAGTACTATATTCTACTAAGTATAGTATAGATTTATATATAGTATTATATAAGGCTATATAGTATACCTTTCTTTAAAAAGCTACTCTTAACCTTTAAAGTAAAGTTCTATAGTATTCTAGCTACCTTTTTAGATAGTAATATATAAGGAATATCTTTAGTATATATACTAGTAAATCTTATAAAGTTTATAGTACTTAGCTAATATTCTAGTAGTTATAAAAAATATATAATTAATAAAACTACTACTATACTTATTACTACTTCCTACTATAGCCTTCTTAATAGTAGTAGGCTAAAGTTTTATAACTTTATATAAGATAAGATCTACTATTCTACTACCTATATTATAAATAATAAATCTATTATTAATTATAAACTAGGTATCTTATACTATACTATGTAAAGTTTTAAAGTATATAATATAGTAGACTCTAGTTTTATTATAATAATAATATCCTTAAGTTAAAGAAATTCTAATAGGTTAAAGCTAGCCTTTTTAATAGCCTAAAGTATATAGTCTTTTATAATATTAGACTAAACTACTAGTATAGTTACTACTAAAGTAATAGGTAAGAATCTTTAAAGTACTTTTTTATACTTTTTATTAAGATTCTTAATTAAATAAGCCTTTACTTATATAAAGAAATCTATATACTAGTATAAAAGTAATTAATAAAGTTCTCTAAAGCGCTTTTTTATACTTTAAGTTAAAGTACTTAATTAAGAGAGCCTTAAGCTAAACTAAAAAATTTATAATAATATTAACTAGTTACTTATATATACTCTAAGTAAATATAAAGAAAATCTTAGATATATATTCTATCTATTAGCTATTAAGCTAAAGCTCTATTCTTTAAGACACCTTAGTAAGCTTATAAAGACCTAGTTTATTTATAATATATATCTAAATTATTTATACTAGTTTTAAATATATTACTATTATTTTAGTTATTTTTATTACTTATAGTATTCTTTCTTATATTACCTAAGTTAGTAGGTATAAGGTAATTATTTTAAAATAATATAGCTTTTAATAATATTATATATTTTTTACTACTAGATCTAATATTAGATAGCTTAGAGATCTCTTTTATATTATTACTACTAGAGTTTTTATATATATTAAACTAACTATTAGCTTAGCTATATATATTATATATATTATATAAAGTCTATTATAACTTTATATTTAGCTATAATTACCTTTTTTAAACTAATACTTTAAATTTCTCTAAAATTACTATATATTATATAGTTATTAGAAAATCTATTACTAAAAAGTAGAATATCTCTAATACTTATATATTCTATAAGGTTCTAACCTTTAGCTATATATTTTATAAGAAGATATCTCTTATATTAGAGATCTACTAAGCTTTATATATATTACTAATATACTTATTAGTATTTACTAATATATAGTTAGGTACTCTATATAGTAGTTAAAAACCTAGTTAGGTATTTACTTTATCTATAAAGTAGTTATCTTTAAGTACCTATAGTAATCTAGTGTCTTTACTAGGCTAGCTATTTTAAACTAAATATTAATAATCTTATAACTTTTATAATTCTATACTAGAAAGGTACGTAAGTAAAGATTTAATATTATTTAGCTTATCTATACTAGACTAAGTAGTAGATATAGTAATTTTATAAGAAACTCTCTACCCTACTAAAAGATAATTAGTAATAGTATTTAACTACTACCTCTTTAATTAGAATAGGTATTTCTATATTAGCTACTTATTTAGATTATATAAGCTATAACTACTAGAATATATACCTTTATTAAAGTATAAAGTTATACTATATAAAAGTACTAAGTTCTTAAACCTATTATAAGGTTTAGCCTTAGGCTTATTCTTATATACTAGAAGAGTTAGAAATAGCCTTATATATCTAGAAGTAGAGCTTAATATTAGAAAGTATACTTTCTTAGTTTACTTATATATAAGTAGCGCTATTAGTTAACTTAAGTTTAGTAGGTTACTTTACTTTTTAACTATAACTATCCTATCTTATATCTCTACCTTAATATATTCTTTATACTTCTTCTAGTAAACTTTAGTAAAATATTAGATATAAAGTAACCTCTTATATAAACTAATATAATATAATAATTTACTAGCCCTAGATACCTTTAGTTAATAATTAATTAGAGGACTTAGGACTTCTTTATATAGGTTAAGTAACTTATATATAATTTAGTCTTCTTTCTCTTTTACTAGTCTTTTATATTAGTATAATAAATCTTATATAGGTTTTAGTAAACCTACTTCTTTCTACTTAAGTAGTAGCTTTCTTATAGTTTATTTATATTATTTATAATACCTATTTAATTAGCTACCTACTATTAAAATACTTAGACGTAAATAGCTAGTACTATAATATAGTATTTTATATTATTATAAACTACTTTACTATAAGGTTATTAAATTTATAAGTATTCTCTATATACTATTATAAGTTATATACTAGATAAACTTACTACTTCTAATTCTTCTCTCCTTAAGCTATAATAAATTTAAAATAGTTATACTCTAAAATAAGAGGTCCTATATATATAGTAATATAAGCTGCTAGAAGTTTAAAGTTACTTAATTTAGGTTAAGTATACTTCTTATATAGTTCTAAGATTATATATTACCTATATTTCTTACTATATATTAGAAGTATAATTTTATCTAGTAAGAGTCTAGAATTTATAGTTTTAGATTAATTATACTCTTTATTAGAATATTCTACTATTATTATAGTATTTTAATATTAAGCTAGGTAAGAATATTATAATAATAATATAGATACTTATATTATAAATACTTAAAGCTTTTTAATATAAAAGCTCTTTATCTAGTTAAAGTATATAAGAAACCCTATATATCTATATTACTATAAGCCTTTAAATCTCCTTAACTCTACTTCTTATATATTATTATATATAATTATGTTAGTATTAGATAAGTATAGAAGCTAGATATTATACCTACTTTTAATTAGTATAATTATATAGAATAACTTAGTAGTAGATTTATAGAGTTAATATTATCTTCTTCTTATTTAGTAGAAGGTTAATTATTACTATATAGGCCTAGTATATAAACGCTCTCTAATACCTTATAATCTAAATTATTTCTATTTAATTATACCTTAAGGTAGTATTCTACCTATAGTTAAATCTTATTTACTACTCTTATTCTTACTACTTTTTTATAATATTACTAGTTTATAGTATAATTATTTTAGTAGGAGTACTCTTATTATTATCTTTATTATTTCTTAAAGTAATATTTACTAGTGTCTAGTAACTATACCTAGTTATTATATAGTTAATATATTTTATTATTCTCTATACTAGGCTCTACTACTATCTATATTTAGGTAATCTAGAGTAAAAGTACTAGTATTTTTAACCTTTTAGAGTAGTTAAGACTCTTATAAACTATAAATATATTCTATATATATTAGTAGTATAATTTTATAGAACTTATTTAGTACTTTTATAGTAGGTTTATTTATTCTACTAATTAGCTAATTATAGTAAGTATATAAATCTATCTACTTTTTTTTAAGTTCTAATTTAAATTAGCTTAGTCTTTAGAATAGTAATACTCTATATATCTATACTATAGATAAAGATTTATCTTTTAATAATAAAGATTAACTGTTTACTCTTATAGAGGCTACTAAGAAGATAATTAACTACCTATAGTCTAAAGTTAAATATAAGAGAGTAGAGCTAGAGGCTACTTTTAGTAAAAATAAATATATAGTAGCTTAAATTTTAGCCTTTTAATTTAGTATTTAACACCTTAAGAGGGGCCTATAACAGAGATTACTATAGTTTAATAATATATAGAGTAAATACTTAGTATCTAATAGGTTAAACTTAGAGTTAAGTAGTATCTAGCTAATAATACTAAGAGAAGAGTATAGTAATATATATAGTATATATAGCACTAGTGTTTATAGATAAGTATATTATTTATTATTTTAGAGATTAGTTCTAGTTCTTATATAAGTTTAGAGTTATATTTTAGTATCTTATAAGTAAGTATTTTTATATATTTTAGTATAATATTAGCGTAAGAATAACTACTATTATTAAGTTATTTTATATACCTATATATATTTAGTACTTTGTTATAAGTATATTTTATAGTACTACAGCTTAAAAAGTAAGGCCTATATAAAATAAAATAGTTATAATCTTTACTTAATATAGCTAGCTTAGAACTATATATACTACGTTACTTTTATAAACTTAAAAATATAACCTAAGCCTAGTAGTATAGGTATAGAACGCTAAGTTAATTTACTTTACTTATAATATCTACTATACCTCTACTAATACTTTCTACTTACTTAATACGCTTACTATACTCCTAAATATACCTCTATTAGTTAAGCCTTCTAGGTATATTATAATATATTAGTAATATACCTAAATATATCTTTATAGATTATCTAATATATCTCTAAACTTATTCTTAAAATTACCTATTTTACTCTATACGCTACTAATTATACTTAAAAAACGTACCTATTATATCTCTAAAGTACCTATAAAGTAGTATAAAGTACTAGAGTTACTATATAACCTTCTCTATTATAAGAGGCTTTATAATATATATACTCTTTAATACTATAGGTATCTTATAGCTATAACTATAAAAGAGTTCCTTAATTTACTACCTATAAGGTAATAAGTTTAATAAACTCTACTTCTAAGCTATTAATAAATCTTAATAGTTAATAAAATAAACTATAGTTATTATTAAATTCTAGACTAAGTAAACTTAGTACTTTAAAGATTAATCTTACTATAAGTATAGAGTATTATATAGAAAGTCTTTATTATTAAGGTAGTATTACTTCTTTCTTTTAGTATAATAAACTTTAGTAGTTAAATATTAAACTCTACTTCTAATAGGTAGTAGTAGTCTAGTTCTTTCTTATATTATATATATAGACTCTATAATTCCTAAGTAAGTATACTTAGAGCTTATACTTAGGTTTTATATAGAGGAAGCTATCTTTAAAGAAGTAAACTTTAGTAATTAAAATAAAATTATAGTATACTAGCCTAAAGGCTAACTACTGTAGAGGAGAGGTCTTTAACGCCTCTTTAGGCACGTGTAGCTTAATGCTAGATAGAATAAGTATATTATTAGTTAATTCTCTGTTAAGCTTCTATTAGAGGCTTAATTACTATATACTAATCCTAGATTATATAACCTATGTTATATAATCTTACTCTAATACTCCTTTAGATATACTTTCTATATTACTCTACTATATCCCTCCCTTACTTAAATATCTAAGCCTTATTTAGATTCTAAAGTGCTATTATACTAACTAAAATAATAGCGTTATTAATCTACTATTATAAAAATCTACCTTTACTTATAATTAAAACTTAAGGTAATTACTAATTATAAACTGCTTAATTCTATTGTTTATTATTACCTAGTACGCATAATAGGAATTCTTAGTTACCTGTAATTGTAGAGTAGTCTAGAGTTGTAAGCTTAGGCCAGCTACTGCTATATATAATAGAGTTCCTGCCCTTAATCCTTTATTATTCTTTATCTAACTTTTCCTTATATATCTGCTCTAATCCTTAATTTAACTTTGCTTAATATAGCCTTTATTAACTTTTCTATAGGCTCTACTACTGCTAGCGCTAGCAGCAGCAGTTAGGGTCCTCCTAGGAGTAGCTAAAAGCCTCCTATTAAGGGTAATACAGAGACTCCTCTGTATCTCTACTTTACTTAGTTAGTATCTAGCTATATTCTTAAGTAGTATAAGTACTATCCTAATTATTACTTAAGTTTTCTTTACTAATAGTACTTATAGTTTATAATTATACTAACTAGATTGTTAATTAGCAGCTAATTATTAATCTTACTTACTTTCTCTTTTAGTTAAGCTAAATAGGTATTACTCTTAGGCCTATACTCTAAGTTACTACTATTTACTAGGATAATAATAAGTTAGAGATTACTATCTAATTTTTTAATACTAGTAATACCTATATTACTATTACTAACTTTTTTAGTCTTAGTACTCCTAAGAACCTTATAAAGTGCAGTTACTACTTTACTAATATACCTACTACTATCTAGTAGGGCTTTAGTAGAAGTGTTACCTATAACTTCTTTAATTACTGCTTACGCTGTACTAATACTAAGGGTAAGCTTACTTTTAAGTTTAGTAGTAAGTATTATTAGTCCTACTTTAAGGGTAAGCTTCTAAACTATAGGGCCTATAATAAGTGTTAGATTAATAGTAACTATACTAGCTGTAACTTCTATTATAAGTTCTTTTAATCTTTAGTTACTTTTTATACTAATTTCTTAGTAGTAGGTACTCTAATTGCTAATCCTTTGCTTTAAGATATTACTAAGTCTATTCTTTATAATTATAAGTTACTCTAGGCTCCTGTTAGAGCTCCTAGAGGTTATTACTTTTATTCTAGTAATATAATTATAACTTATAAGTTTAATAAGAACTCTAATAATAAGGACTTTGTTACTCCTAAGAGTAAGGGTAAGAGTAAGAAGAAGTAAGTAGGTAATTCTTTATTAGGGTTAGGTAATTTTAGCTGTACTAGACATAGTTTTAGGTAGTTTTTAGGTAGTTTTCCTTCTCTTTAAGGTCTCTGCTAATAGTCTTCTAGTAGCTTAATACTACCTTAATAGGAAATATAACTTCTTATTATAAATTACTTCTTCTTATAACTATTTATTAGTTTAGTAGGAAAAGTTTAAGTAACTAGCTAATAAAATAATAGGAAATTAGGTAAAATAAAATAGTAAAAGAAATAAATATAAACCTCTAACTCTCTTCCTTACTTAAGCAGATAGGCTATTACCTATTAAGATTAATTTATTTATCTTTATTCTTATTAAATTACTAATACTCTGTTAGGTTAAATCTAGAAAGTTAGGAGATTACTACTCCTTTAGCGTAAATAGGCCTTAGAGCTACTACCTCTACTACTATACGTTAGGTTGTTCTACATTCTAAGGTTTATTTAGGCTATACTACTTACTCCTAATTAAGTACTAGTATATTCTTATAGTAGGGACTCTCTAAAGCTTTATTAGCACTCTATTAGTCCTAGGCTTCCTAGAACTTAACTACTATTCTCTAATAGAACTTCTTTAGTTAATTGCCTAGTATATAGCTCTAAAACGCTTATCTATTAAGTTCCTTAAGTTAGTACTAGCCTTTACTTTCTATAAAGCTTATTTAGTAAGGATCTTACTACTTTAGCCTAAACTTTATAATTATTAATATATTAGTATTAATAGGAGAGTCTTAAAGTAGTATAAGATCTCTAATAGCTAGTAGGCTATTATAAATTTATTTTAAGTTATTAAAATACTCCTTATTAGTATACCTTAGTTAAATAGTTTAATTAATAGCTTCTTAGAGCCTATTATTTCTTGTATAGAACTGTTAGGCTTATAGAGTAAGTAGTAAGGCTGTATTAGAGACTTCTTTCTAAGGTAGGACTTACTAGGTTAGAACTAAGAGCTTAATTAGAAGGATATACTCTTTTCTATATATTAAATATATAGGGGTTTTACTAGTAGCTCTTTTAATAATTACTTAGTTAGCCTATAAGACGTATAATAAGTTCTTAACCTAGTTTCCTTTTATCTTTTTTAAGGTAGCTACTAGTAGTTTATGCCCTTTCTTAATAAGCCCTTAGCCTTATAAATAATAGGTACTTAAGACTACTCTATTAATTCTAAATAGTTTCTAAAGATCCTTTATAAGGCCTTTATTCTCTAAGCCTCTATTACAGCTTATCTTTAATAGTACTCCCTATTAACAGAAAATTAACTTCTAGATAAACTTAGCTACTAATCTAGAATTATTCTTTATAAGACCTTACGCTTTTAGCTATTATAATAAGTAATTGCGTATAACTACTATATAGCTTTTACTATTTAAGCCTCCTAGTATAAAGACTATATTAATAGTTACCTATACCTATAGTATTAATAGTAGTTTAGTAGAGTAGAGTTACTTATATAATTAAGTATTACTATAAACCTAGTATTAAGTATACGTTTAGACGTGCTTCTTTATATTATTATAGAGGCCTTTTTAGTAGTATCTTACCTAGACTTTTTACTAGGTGCTTTTCTTACCCTAATAGCCTAATTCTTTATAAAGTGTAGTAAGAATATCTTTTCTTAAAGCTTTATTATTAACTACTCTTTAGAGAGGGCGCCCCCTAGAGGGTATCTAGAATAGGTATTATTTCTAAATATTATATTATAAAGCCTTCTTCTTAAACTTAGTAAAAGCCTTTCTTAATATACCCTTAAGACACTTTTAAAATAGGATCTAGTAGGCTAACTCTTAAGAGGCCTCTAAGTAGGTATTATCTAAAGAAGTATTACTAAAGAAGGTATCTACTATATATAGGGCGTACTGTAATATACTATTACTAAAGTTAAGCTATATTATATTTAAAGCTAAGTTAATAAACTTATTAACGCTTTCTTTAGGGCTATTAGGAGGCTTTTATCTAGGTTCCTTAGGGCGTCTTAATAGAGTATTAGTAACTACGTTCTTTTTTTCTTAAATATAGGTAATATTAAAGTCCTACATATTTAGGTACACTAACTAATAAGTTATTAGAGAACTAGGTAGGTTAGTAGCACTTTGTTAGAGCTAAGCTACTAAAGTCTTTACATCTATTTTAATAAGGAATTAAATATTATATAAGTAAGGGCAAAACTTTTTAATAGCTAGGAGTAGTACTTTATACTTATACTTACTAGTATTCTAGTTTTACTTAGGTTTTAACTAGACTCTACTCTTAAATTAGACAGAGTATTACTTTTTACTCTTACCTTCCTATATTAAGGCAGTACCCTAGCCCTTCTTACTACTGTTAACTGTAAGGATAATTAATTAGAGGGGCGCTAAATAGTTAATTAATATAAGTACTAGTAGGGAGTAAAGAGCTTACTTTAGAGTATTTATTAAAGCTTAATAGTCCTTAGTCTATTTAAATATAACTATCTTTTAGAGTAGGCTAAATAACAGATTAGCTATTAGAGTAAAGTTAAAAATCTAGACTTTATAGTAGACATAGATACCTAGGAAAGCTTAAATATCTTTTATATAAGTATAAGCTAGCTACTTTATAATCTTCTTAACCTTTTAGTTATTAAGGTGTTAGCTATAGTAATTAACCTAATAGCTAACTATTATTATTAAAGAGTAATAGAAGTTAGATTTATATCCTAAAATAGTTATACTAGCCCTTTTAATATTAGCTAGTACTTAATTAATATTTATAATATGCTCTGTAACGTATTATTAAATCCCTAGCTTAACTTCTTATCCTTAATAATTAGTCTTTAGGCCTTTAATACATACGTTATTAAGGTAAGGTATATATACTGTAGAGATATACTTCTAATAGATCTTTATTATAACCTAAATAAACTTAGTAACTAAATTTATAGCTTCTTAAGGTAAAGTATACTACTTTATAAGTCTAAGAGGGGTATAGAACATAGTAATATCTCTTAATTAAATATTAAGTTCTATTTAATTATATCCTAAAAAGAAGTTAGTAAGGGACATAATAAAGCAGCTAGCAAATTCTTCTACAAACTTATTAGGGTTTAGAGGTAGGTTTATATCTTAAATTATAACTCTATTTATTTTTTAGGTATTATTAATAAGTTAATAGTCCTAATCCTTTTTCTTAACTAGGAAATATAGGTTACAATATTAACTTTTATATAATTTAAAAGTCCCTTAGTTAATTTATTACTATACTATCTTAATTACTATATCCTAAAGCTTCCTTAGGAGCTAAAATTAATTAGCTTACTAGGCTTTATATAGTACTATATTAATTATTACTAGAGGAGATACTTTATAGCTAATCTAACTAGATTCTAAGAAGTCCTAAGTAAGAGCTGCCTTTCTTTAATAGAGTATCTTAATAAGTAGGTCCCTTTCTCTTAACTAGAGATTGTCTAATATTTTTATTTCTAATAGTTTCTTAGGTATTAGCTGTGTTTCTCTAGGGAAAGATACGTATCTTAGTTTAAAGTATTATTAGAAAGGGGCTCTAGCAGAGTCTTAGTTTAGTATTTACTATATTTAAGCTCTCTTCTTCTAGTTAATTTAACTATTAATTATATAAGGTTCTTAGCCTAAGTAGTCTATAGGTTTAACCTTAATCTCTTTCTGCTTATATATTATATTAATTTAAATTAGTAGGTATTCTTCTAGGAAATCTTCCTAAAAGATCTTTACAGAATAAGTTAAATATTTACTACTAAGTATATTAACTATCCTACTAAGTACTTTATAAGTAGCAGTTAAGGAAAGGTCCTTATAAGTAACTATTATAATACCTATATTATCTTAAAAGAGGATGTTTTTAACGCTATCTTAGCTAACACTGCTAATATTTAGCTATACAAAGAAATAATCCTTTGTTAAGATAGTAGGTTTTATTACCTTTATTAACTGCTAATTACTAACTGTACTTATTATTAGGGCTACAGTCTTATTCTACTGCAGCTAGGTTAAGTTAATGTATATTTACTCTAGGCTTTTAATTTATTATTATTAAGGGGATATAATGCTAGACTTTATATCCCTCTGCCTTTTCCTAGTAATTAAACTGTAACTCCTTAGGTATTAATATAATTACCTTTTATATATATAAATCTTATACTTATATTACCTTCCTTACTCTAGATTTAGTAGTAAGTAAGGCTATTTAAAGTATATTTAAGCTTTGCTTAAGTATTAGATAGGAAAGGGTTACTAAGGATAATTACATTAGTATAGTAATTAATAATAAAGAAGTTTATCTAAATAGAGATTAATCCTACTGTTATAACAGCTCCCTATATAATCCTAAGGAAACTGCCTAATATACTATTAGCTAAGACTATTTTTATATTCTTTATTTCCTAAGAGAGTGTTATAATAGGCAGTATTGTGTTATTAGCAGTTTCTTATTAAATAGTATTTAGCTCTGCTCCTAAGTTAAGGAGACTTAGGAAGTAATTTCCTAATATACTAACTAGAACCTTTAGGTAGTTATAGTAGATATATTTAATACTAGCTTACTTATTATACTCTCTTCTAGCTAAAGTTTTTAATTATATATTAGCTTTAATCTAGGAATTATTTAGTGTTTAATTAATACTTAATTAGACCTTATTAACTTTAGGCTTATTCTAATAGACTACTAATATTAAGTAATATTAGTCTACTCTACTTAATAGGGCTTTAATAAGAATATAGTTAGGAACTAACTGCGTATTTATACTAGATACGTAGGACTTAAAGGTAGGTTAGAAGTATTCTTCCTCTGTACTTAACTTATTATTAGACTTTACTCCTATTACCTAAATAGAGTTATTTTGGATAGCTTTAAACTCTTCTTAGGTATATATATTTTAGAATATTTTCTTTTAGACTTCTGCTATATTTCTAAGTAGTACTCTAATAGGTATTACTATAGATACTAATATAATAGTATATATTACTTTATTAGTAGTACTTAAGATATATTTAGAGAAATAAGCCTTCTTAGGTTTAACTTTTCTTTAGGGCAGAGTATTAGTTATTTCTAAATCCTTAATATAGTTCTAAGAGGTTAATATTAGTGTAAAGGTTATATTTAGAGTAAGCAGAGCTTAAGTCTTCTGCTGCTAGCTTCTTAGTTAAATTAATTAATTATTAGCAGGCTGTTTAGTAATAGTAACTAGCACTAGCTTTACTACCTTAGGAGTACCTAGTACTTTCTTATTAATAGGCTTTTATAAAGGTCCTTTTTATTAGATTTAAGTAGCTAAAAGCTTAGCGTTTAAGTAGTAGAATATTAGGTATTAAAATAATTAAATATTACTACCTAAGTTTATAGAGGCTTCCTAGAAAGCTTTATAGTCTTTAGCTAATATTACGCCTAAGTCTTAGTTAGGGTTTAGACTAGTAACTATAAAATTATTCTAAATAGCTATTAA